CTGACATTAAGCTAAAAAATGAGTCCTTTGTAATGCTTTCTTAATGACTTATGTTTCATGATGAATTTTCAGGGACATATATAATATTAGCATTGATTAAATGATTTAACAAAAAGAATTGAAATTCAATTTATTCCTTGGGGCATGTAGAATGGAATTTTAAGGTACAGCAGGACAGGAGAACACCACAATGTTGTATAGTATTAGGCCACTGGTAGCCTTATTTTGAGGGTGACTGGAGTTTGGTTGAATCATGTTGGAAGTTCAGAGTCATGTAAGGAAACAGCCCAGGTTGGATGATTTTTATTTATCCAGTTTGTAGCTATATTTTATTTGTTCTTTTACAGTCCTATATCTCAATCCTCCTTGAATTCAAGGAAGACAACAGCCTTTTCTCTTAGGCTTTACATGTAGCTGTGAAACTAATTCGTCTTAATAATAAAAACCCAGAGACAAATATTAGGACAAAAGCTGAAAAATCAGAGAATCAAAGCATCCACAGTGACTTCTTACCTCTCCAAATCTTCTGACTTAAAGGGGGAGAAGGGATCCTCTCTCCACCTCCCTAGAGCTGAGATTAAAGTACTGATCCCAAGTGCTAGGATTGAAGACATGAGCCTCCACTGCCAGGCTCTTATGGGTAACTAGTGGCTAGCTGCACCATTTGATCTCCAGGTAAGCTTTATTTGTCAGAACACACAAATATGTCATACAACACCCCAAGGCTTTACATTCTATCTGTGTGGAGCACTTTTAACTTAACAAAGTACTATTATGGCACTGAATCTAGAGCAGTGAGCAAACACAATCTAACCGACTTTAGTAACTCAAATGCTTTCTGATATCTATTTTCTGTTGTACAGTAGGTTTGGGGAAACAATTGTTTAAGCACATGTTTAGTGAGACACTTTTACTGGGGAGATGCAACATACATGTGCAACTACTCACTCAACAGGGAACTGAAAAGAGAACCAAGTCAACCCTGTTGAATCAATGAGCTTTATTAGGGTTAATACAATGAATATCAGGAAGTAGTTGCTTTCTGCAGCACAGGGACTCAAAACAGTTGTTATCATGAAGTTCTATCCCAGCATGGGATACAGCATATACATACAGAATAACAGGAGCACACTGCACATCTGTAAGCATATGTACTATTTAAAAAGCATCCTATCTTGGTGGATCATTTTGACAAATTCTATTCAAGGACAAGGATCTGAGTTTCTTCATTTGATTTAAGCATACTGAATCCTGTCAGTTTCAGGGATTTCTTGAAGATTTTTTGAGGTGTACATTTTGACTTAGTTCCTATACAAGACACATGCCTTCAGTCTCAAAGAAACTGCTACATAACAGCATATTTTCCAGGTTTCTGTGTTTTATCTTCATTATGAAGCATGTAAGGTTGCATAAGTACAAAAAGTTGTAATGAAAATTTTCCTACATTTAAACAAAACATCTTCAGAATTTTCCTCAGTAAAAATTCTGGGTGTATTCTAAGATTTGAACATTACTGAAAAGCTTTCATAACTTTCTTATGTTGATAATTAGACTTGAGAGACAGTCAAGACTTCATATAGTACATAGTAAACTTTCTCTCTTGTATAAATACTTAGATATGTTCTAGGATGATTATGTGGCAAAGATTTCTTGCATATAATATATTGTAAGGTTTCTTTGTGTATAAACACTCTAATTTCTTCTAAGAGATGGGGGCACATGTAAAAGATTTTTCATATCCAATATATATGTAGGGTTTCTCTCTTTTATGGATTCTCTGATGATTTCTACGGTCTGAGCAACTGATAAAGGGTCTGTTACATTCACGACATTGGTAAGGTTTTTCTCCTGTATAGATTCTCTGCTGAGGTCTAAGATGGCCTTTCTTGCTAAAGGATTTGTAACATTCATTAGATTTATAAGGGTTCTTTCCTGTATGAATGAATTCTCTAATGAATTCTAAGATGACCCTTTTGGATAAGGATTTGTAACATTCACTGCATTTGTAAGGTTTCTCACTGGCATGAATTCTCTGATGATTTCTAAGATAGCCTTTATTGATAAAGGATTTGTCACATTCACTGCATTTTTAAGGTTTCTCTCCTATATGCATTCTTTGATGAGTACTATGAATGCTTCTATGAATAAAAGATTTCAGAATCACTGCATTTTTAAGGTTCTCTCCTATATGCACTCTCTGATGAGTACTAAGGCTGCCTCTTTGGGTAAAAGATTTATCACATTCAATACATTTGTAAGGTTTCTCTCCTGTATTAATTCTCTGACGAGTTCTAAGATTCGAGGCATCGGTAAAGGATTTGTCACATTCAATACATTTGTAAGGTTTCTCTCCTGTATGCATTCTCGGATGAGTACTAAGACTACCTCTTTGGGTAAAGGATTTACCACATTCAATACATTTGTAAATTTTCCCTTGTATTCAGTCTCTGAGAACTAAGATTGCCTCTATGGGTAAAGGATTTATCATATTCAATACATTTGTAAGGTTTCTCTCCTGTATGCATTTTCTGATGAGTACTAAGACTGCCTCTTTGGGTAAAGGATTTGTCACATTCAATACATTTGTAAGGTTTCTCTCCTGTATGCAGTCTCTGATGAGTGCTAAGACTGACTCTATGGGTAAAGGATTTACCACATTCAAAACATTTGTAAGGTTTCTCCCCTGTATGCAGTCTCTGATGATTACTAAGACTGCCTCTTTGGGTAAAGGATTTATCACATTCACTGCATTTGTAAGGTTTCTCCCCAGTATGAATCCTCTGATGAGTTCTAAGAGATGAGGCAGTAGTAAAGGATTTGTCACATTCAATACATTTGTAAGGTTTCTCTCCTGTATGCAGTCTCTGATGAGTACATAGACTGCCTCTATGGTTAAAGGATTTATCACATTCAATACATTTGTAAGGTTTCTCTCCTGT